AAGAAATGGGTGGATGGATGGATGGGTGGGTGGATGGGTGGGTGGATGGATGGATGGATGGGTGGATGGATGGAGGAATTTTGAGTCTTTAAGTTCAAGTTTTACATTTTTCAAGGGAAAGATGCGCTTCTTGCATGACGAATTAACGCCTTAACACTAAGCCGGTCCACGTTGATTCAACGTTTGCAATTCGTTCATATTTTTAGATTGTATATAAATATAAAATATTGGACGGTCTTGCAAATACTTTGACAATGACAACTGAATAGCTTTTCCCAATTCGGTTACCATAGCAATGATTTTTGAGGTTGCTACAGTGACCGACGGTTAAAGAAACGACGTCTTCTTCGATGGCGATTTAAATTCTGCTTTCTTCCAAATCATCACGCTCTACTTTTTACGTGTTTTACCGCCATTGATCATGGCAAAAAAAAACTTGTTCAAAATGATTTGGCTGATCTCTATAATTACCTTAATTCTGTCAGGGTTCGAACCTAACCTTTTTGCCCACTAGCAAACAATTGAATTTCTGTTTCTTGACAAAAAAAATTGGTCAGATCCGAAAAACATTTTCTAGCAAATGATTGCTAATAGATTATTTTCAGCTACCAAAGTCAAGAAAAGCACTATGGGACTTTGRTATAGTTTCTAGTCAGCTAATTGCGAGCTCGGTCTGCTTACTATTGTCTCGGGTTTTACAGTTCTATAGTGCTGTGGTTGATGTTTGTATGCTCTCATAGCGAGAGATATGAATCTGTAATAACGAGGTCCACGAGGTCGGGCTATCATCAAAACTAGACTATAATTATAGCACATAGCTGCACGTTTCATGATATAAATAATATGAAGAAAGTCGCGCACGAATTTGGCGCTCAATCATTGAAATTTTGTTTACCAAAACTCGCGACAAGGAGATATCCAAAGCTTTTTACCGGGAAATACGCTTTTAGTTAAAGTTACAGTTGCTACATTGCCTTCAAAAATAAATTTATGTAGCGTTTCTTGTGTCGTGTGCTTTAACGAAGTAAGCCATAGATATCGACTAGCTGTTTTATCGCTGTAAGTACAAAGACTCACAGAAAACTGCATAATTTTCAAGAGAATATTTACGATTTAGTCGTTTCAAGTTAATATCTAAATATCTTTTTACAGTTCAACTTGTTCAACCCCTTAATTTATACAGAGTTATCACTTCTGTAGCATTAATAATGTCTGCTATAACCGCTCTTGTAGTGAAGAGAGAGAGAGAGTGTGTGTGAGAGAGAATAAAACACGAAAACCAGACAAAAGTACGTAATTTGCATTTGGTACAGAATCAAAACACGGCACTTTATGCAGACGACATTCTCGTCAGATAAGGTATCCATGACAACAGTTGTCATAGTAACCAGCCTAATCAAAAACTAACACCTAAGTGATAATTATATTGAGATTTGTTGGTAATTGAAGGTCTAGTTGTGATTTTGTGATATCTTCGTTTCATTTTGCCTGTGGCGATATGCAGGCTTTTATCAACGCTTGTCTTCCTCTCCATCTCCGCTTCCTTTGGCACCTCATTTTTCCTTTTAGCAAATTTACCGCTCTTTTTTCGCGATAAACTTTGATCTACACTTCCTTTGCTTCTGGAAGTGCAGGAAGGAGCTTCGAAATAGTTTGTGTTAAAAGGTCTGAGCTTTGTGGGCGAGCTAAGCGTCAGTGCGCTCCACGGCCCTTTTCTCTCTTTCTTAGTTTCAGGCTGTTTTAAAGACACGTCCTCTGTTCTTTGTCTTTTTCTTCCAGCATGAAGAAGGGGCTCGCTGGAAGACTCGGACTCGGACCTCTTTGCTAGAAACGATTCCTTTTTTCGTTCAATAAGTTCACGTATTGCTGTGGAGTCCCTCGGTAACGGTCTAAGGGGGAAGTACGCATGCGTCAGGGGTTGAATTCGAATTAAGTTATTTTTAGTAACGCTGCTGTCTTGCCAGTTATTGAACGCAATCATAGGCAGTATGCTATCGCCAAATATAGAATACAAACGATAGTACTCGCTGTTTGATTGGGTGGTAGAGTTCGTAGAGCTCGAACGAGATCTCGTAGGGAATGATGGGCGGCGTTCCATCATGTTCGTCCCAGCCCACGGCGAGAGGTTTGCGCGGAGCATGGGGTGAGAGGAGTTGTTGACTTGGAAGTTGTACGAATTGACTGGGACTCCTTTGGTTTTGGACTTGAGAAGACAACCTGATGCTTGCTGTGAATCAAACCAATATACAGATTGCAAACAGAGCCGAAAAATTAAGACAGATTCAGCCACTAATAAGCCGCGTATGATGTGTGAGAGTAGAAGAAATATTGGACTCATTAGAATTGTACTATTCGTCAATGCCCAGGTTTGAACACATAGTATCGTGTACTGTCGATTTAACAATGAAAGGAGGTAGGAATAGATTGTCTGATTTTCACCACACTCGAGTCTCTCATAGTTCAATAGTACTCGTAAGTTTAGATTTCTTGAGCTCTTAACTGTATCTTGGGAAAGGTCTGTTTAGCTTGTTAGACAGACTATTTGTGGAGAGAGGAAAACCGGAGAATCCGAAGGAAAACCCTCGAATAAAAAAATCGAGGGAGAGACCTACCCAATTCAACTCACATGTGGTGCCACGCCCAGGTATAAAACATGAGACCTCAGAGGTGATAGGCGAGTGCACAACTGATACTCCCCCTTGATTCAAAATAGACCTCATTCGTTGCGTTGCGTTACAATGTTGTCCCATTTCAGACCACATACCAATCTTTTGATAATAAGATTCTTTGTTTGCTTTGTATCTATATTCATGTGCCTCCTCGTGTAAAACCGAATGCAACCGTTAAACAAAGAAATGACACTCTTGGGAATGACACGTGGTCTGAAATGGGAAAACATTGTAACGCAACGAATAAGGTCTATAGCCTAACAATATTGATCAAAGGTTCATTTGCTTAAAACTTACGAGTAACGCTCCGTACACCTGATAAGCCTCGCCCTGCAAGACGGCATTGGATGGACTGTTGTCTTGAAGGACTTGTTGTAACAGTTGCCAGTAGTTTTTGAGGTATGGTAATAGAAACTGCTCTAATGCCTGTCAAGAATAACACGAACAGCTACGTTCAGCATATTCTTCACTCCTTCCTTTTTATTACTTCCATTTTCATATTTTTTCCCTTTCCTCGTTCACACCCATTTTCTTCTTCCGATTTTTTTCTTCCCATTCTTCGCTTTCCCAATTTCTTTCCCGTCTTTTCCTTCATTTTTCTTTCCTTCCTTATTACATCCCTCATTTGTTTCTTCCATAACTTTTTCTTTCTTTCATTTTCTCCTATTTCTTTTTCACTTCTTGTACTTCTTTGTCTCCTCTTGCTTCTATATATAATAGTCTTATTCTCTACGTTCTCCTTATTCTTTATCTCTAACTCTTTCTTCGTACATTCTACATATCTTTTTATTTTACAAAAAGCTTAGTCGCTCTCAGAACGTACACTTGGGCTTCCAAGGACTTGTTTCTGGGCTCTAGTTTAGTTACGAGCCTTCGTTATCATGAGCTCAGCGGCAATTTGTGACGATAGAAAACTTCATAAAACGCCATTTTATAAATTGTACATTCCACAGGAAGCCCGAGTAACATAACGTATTACATACCTCTGGTCCCAGTTCAGTCAATCCAACCACAGCACCATAATGAGAACAGTATGGTCGTCCATCATCTACGAGCACCTCCTGTAGTGTCATGAGCAGTTGTTGTCGCAGATAGTTCACACTATTATTACATTTACTGCAATAAATGATATTATTCATAATGAACTATACTCGATAGACCTCTAGATTGGATCTATTTTTTCCATTTCAGACCACGTGTCATGATCTCTATAGTATTACTTCTTTGTTTAACGGTTGCGCATGAGAGCTACACATGGATATGGATGCAGCTCCTCGAGCGGTGATTATGAGGTTTTCCAAAGTTTTCCAACGAGGAGGTAATACTAAAACTTTTTTTTTATCCTGAATTTCGTCTTTTCTCTGATATTCAAGTCTAAGTCCCCTCAGGCTCAGTAAATATGGCGATATTTACCTCAGGCTCAATGATTATGGTGATATTTACCTCAGGCTCAGTGATTATGGTGATATTTACATCGCCGCTCGAAGACTCGTGGCTTGGAAAATATTCACCAATAACCAATAACTGACCTTTGATGAATAATTGTTAAATAATTGTACTTAAGTGTTATAATGCTGCCATCTATCTTTTTATACCTACCGACTGATGTGAGCCAAGATACGAGCTGCGTCATCTCGCAGCCGCCAGTGATCATTCGCAGGATTAAAAGATACAGCAAGACTCTCTAACAGGCAGTACATAACAGCTGTTACAAGCTGAATAACCTGAAATATAGTCAAAAGAGAACTTTATCATCAGATGTCGTCTGACAGGAAACATGTATGGTAGTTATCGGACTACTGTGTAAGTTTTGTTTTTGTTTTACGAGGGTAGCACATTGGATAGGCCCTCATTAAATGATTGAATTGGAACTAAAGAAGTTGATTTTTGTGGAGGGTGGAGGATCTGGGGGAAAGACCCTTGAATGACATTGAGAGAACCAACAAATAACTCTACTCATACATGCAAGGCTGTAGCCAACACTTGGCATTGGTTGGGTTTAAAAAAAGAGGTAGTCCTGTTTTTATATTAAATTTTTTTATGAGGGGGAAAAAGATTCTGAAGGTAATAAGTGGTGCAGTTGAAACTGGACCAACCATACTGGTGGCTACGGGCTGRTATGATGGCTAGTCTGGTTGGAACCCATAGCCAAAGCAGTGAGAAGGGGTGCATGAGCAGTAAACTACACCTGTGTGTCCCACTATATCAAAGAGTAGAAACACAGCCATAAAAATAATAAATTATTTCATATACTGCTATATGTTCTGAGAGCTGCATGACAAGGCCTTGTACTCCCTGTATGTATCAATGAGATCATTGCCTAGACATGTACTTACATAGGGTTCTAGGAAGAGAGATGGATTGTCTATGAGAGACCTGACCATTGAGAGCAAGTGACTCAGTTGTTTCATATCATGGCTGTAGGTCTTGACCTGATAATGTATGAAAATATAGTATTATTCATGAATTGGTGAGTTGATTTGAAGTATGAAGAATTCAGAGTTAATAACATATGATGTGATGATGATGATGATGATGATGATGGATGGATGGATGGATGGATGGATGGATGGCAGATGATGATGGATGGATGATGATGGATAGATGGATAAATGAATGAATAGGAATAGACTGAATAAATGAAAAATATTACTTTTTAAAAAGGTGGACATTTAAACTAATTTACTTACCCCAGAAGATATGAAATTCACAAAGTAGGCAAGCAGTGACAATATCTTTGGGTTGGATTTCAAATCATTAAGGCTGACCTGAAAATCAATGGAAATATTTTACCATGTGTCAGTATGCTCTAAAAAAAGAACAGACATTTACTAATTTTATTGGCCAAGGTCAAAGTACATGTTGGCTCTATTGATGATAATATGTCTTTTAATGTGTTAACAGGATATTTCATTTTTATTTATTTATTTTATTAACTTTTCCTTTAGGGCAGGGATACCACAACAGCTTTTGGTAATTCCTGTGGGCCCTGTCCTGTAATAGCTATGAGCACAGGCTCTAAAAAGGGTCGCAGGGTTCGTGCTCAGGTAACCACTTAAAATTCAAGGATTATTCAAGGAGTATACAAGGACCCAAAAATATTTTTCAAGGAGTATGTTCAGCCAAGGTTTTACACGGTGGTTGCATATGGTTGACTTTCAGATTTTCCGATCTTCTGACTAGATCTATTTCAGAACCATGCAAGTAATGATCAAAGCAAAAATTCAAGGAGTTTTCAAGGAGTTTTGTTAAAATCGTAAAATTCAAGAGCTTTTCAAGTGCCCTTGAAAACGTGAATTAAATTCAAGGAGTTTTCAGGGAGTTTAAGGAGTAGCACGAACCCTGGGTCGACGGCGTCTTCACTGGATTAGATTTGCTTCAAATCTTGCTCGTTAATTTTGTTATTTTTGACAAATCATAGCATGCACTTTCCATTACAAGAGCTTTCCAAGGGGAACGGTGCAAAGGAAGGGAGAACAGTTGGCAACACTCGTAAAATATAGCACTTCATTAACATCAATCAGGTTGGTGGCAAAAACAGACCAATGCTCTTACCAACTGAGCTTACCTTACGGCACCTGTCATTTTCTCCAAGTACTGATTTGGTAATTTGCTCATAATAATTAATGCAAGCCTAAAAACATAAATCGATGTTCAATGGACTTTCAGAGTAGTTTTCGTGTGACTATGAAAAGCTCACGGCATAAACGCAATCATGACACTGCAAGGCATATGTCGGACCAATCAATAGTCCCCTTCACAGTTCCCTGCACCATCTTGAAAGGTAGCCGGGCCTTTGCATCGAAGCAAGATGAACGGTGAGCTTGCAATGATAGAGACCTTTTTTTAACACCTTAGAGTATCTCCTTTGATTTGAGAATTTTTCTATATGCGTTCTGCTGTTTTCCTACCTTCACAATTTGATAAATTCCAATTCTAACTGCGAGTTATCCATTTCCCCAATTAGATCAGCCCAGAGATACTCTATACACATTGTACTCTCACCTCTGGTGTCTTAGGTTCAATTCCAGGACTACACACACATCATGTGTATAGAGTATCTCCCTTGATTTGAGAATTTTTCTATATGCGTTTTGCTGTTTTCCTCCTTTTTCCTTCACAATTTGATAAAATCCAATTCTAACTGCGAGTTAGCCATTTCCTGAATTAGATCAGCCCAGAGATTATTTCAGGGCTCAATCTGTGAATTAGCCATGCCCTGACTCAGAGGTTGTTTCAGGTTATTAATAGAATTTGAAGGTTTTTTAATCAATGAAAAAGAGGCTGCATAAAGCAAAATAATGCATTTGGCAAAGTATTCCCTACCTGTGATAATGACTTGTGTTGTGCTCCACCTCCTGCTTGTCTCCCTGTTGCAAAAACAAAATGTCGTTTCACTTTTATATTCATTACCATTATCATATACCTCTTTTTTTCTATAGAGGACTGTCATAATTCAGTTTTTTCTGATAGAGAAAATGAGGTATTTTTAACAAAAACTATCAATGCTATTTGAGAAATTTCTTTCCAGAAAATTTTGTTGAGTTTGACTGAATACAAAAGAAGTTATGACCTATCAAAAATAGAGACTTTCATATGTATTTATCACTAGATATAGAGGTGTTGGTGGCCTCGTTTCATTGCATTTTCAAAACTTCAAATGCTCACGTCTTGTCAAGGATTTATTGCTTTCATTAGGGACTCACACACATTATCTAAATCAACAAGGTCAATAATTTCACAGGGTTTTCACTCCAAAAACATTGATATTTAACGTTTATGCAAATAAGCATTAGCCATTCATAAAAGTAATGTATAATCATGTCTAAATCATTGCAATGTGCCTAGACATTTGCTGTGAGTGAGCCAGACATCACTGCCAGTAGTCTAGACATTTGTTGCAATGTGTCTAGACATTTGTTGCAATGTGTCTAGATATTCATTGCAATGTGTCTAGACATTTGTTGCAATGTGTCTAGATATTTGTTGCAATGTGTCTAGACATTTGTTACAATGTGTCTAGATATTTGTTGCAATGTGTCTATATATTCGTTACAATGTGTCTAGACATTTGTTACAATGTGTCTAGATATTTGTTGCAATGTGTCTAGACATTTGTTACAATGTGTCTAGACATTTGTTGCAATGTGTCTAGACATTTGTTACAATGTGTCTAGATATTCATTGCAATGTGTCTAGATATTTGTTGCAATGTGTCTAGATATTCGTTGCAATGTGTCTAGACATCATTGCAAGTTGTCAGGATGTTTGTTGCAGTGTCTCTAGAAATTTGTGCAAGTGGTCTAGACATACATGTTGCACATGGACTAGTCTGTATTGCAAGTGTATGCTGCAAAAAGTCTACACATATATTGAAAGTATCCTTATAAGCATACTGACTTTGATAAGAACAGAGGTTGTTTAGTTAATAAGTTAGCTGCGCCCTGACATTGTTGGTTAGCCCAGAGGATGTTTGATTTGTGAGTTAGCTGTGCCCTGACATTGTTCAGCCCAGAGGTTGTTTTATCTGTGAGTTAGCCATGCCCTGACTTTGATCAGCCCAGAGGTTGTTTGATCTGTGAGTTAGCTGTGCCCTGACTTTGATCAGCCCAGAGGTTGT